TACTCAACTCTAAGGATCTTGCACAAGGTCTTTGTCTCAAAGGATCATGGGGGATCCCAGTATTTAGGGTGGGAAGGGAACATAAAATCCATCTCGTCCAGCCCTCACATGTAAAAGATGAGAAAACTAAGAGCCAAAGGAGCAAAGTAAAAGGTAGAACGAGACAGAGAAACAAGTGCTGGATTTGAGCTCAGAGGACATGAGTTTGTGCCTCAGCTCTGCATGACCTCAGGCAAGTTATTTCCCTCCAGGCATGGACCTCAGTTTCATCAAATGTGAAACCAGAGTGTAGGGCTACATTACTTTCCCATTTATACTGGAGGTACAGTCTTTTGTCTGCTCCCATTAAATTGTGAGTTACCTGAAGTAAGAGAGAGTAGTTTTGCCTTTCTTCATATTTCTAGCACTGAGCCCATTGCCAGGAACATAGTAAGCACCATTTGTTGACTCACTGGCCAGGTGGATGGCCCTTAAGATCCCTTTGGCTCTACATCTATGTTCCTTAATACCCACAATCCCCAGACTCTGGGCCTTGATTTCCTCATCTGTGCCCTCTGGCTCTAAATCTCTGATCCTGACAAGAATGCAATAAGCCAGATTTGTTTTCAGCATCCACAGGCTGCTGGTGGATAGCCAGGGCTCAGAGCAGTCCAGCTACTTACCTGCTGTCACCTACAGCTCAGACACTCACTGCCTATGTGGCCCAAGACGAGTTAGTGAGCATTCTCTGAGCCTTCATTTCCTCATCTGTAAAAAGGATATTGGTATTTGTGCCCATCTGTGCACAAAGTAGTGTTGAGGAAAGTGTTCTGTAAACCTTGGGTTCCTGTAGAAATGTACTCTCACATCTCCTCAGTCTCACAACTGCTACCAACATTCTGTCTCACAAGGTGAAGGGAGGTAATGTAATAAACTAATCTGTTTTAATAGAAGCTGGCTCCTAGGTAGCAAATAAGTATTTGTTGTGGCCTTCTTTGGACCATGTCCCTGCCTTTATTGTCTAACCCTTCAGTAAATCTAATGTTCAGAATTCCATGCCAGGTAGGAAGAAAAGGTGAAACATTAGTAGATCAGTGGAGGGAGTAATTGGGGGGGGGGGGTGCTGGTCAAGATACCTTTCAATTCCCTAAAGTTATGCTTTGGGGCTGGCTGACTGTTCTGCCTTGATGTAGTTCCAGGCCTGCCCAGACTTGCACAAACTGGATCTTGAGAGATGGCTTGGTGAACTGGAAAGATCGCCAGGTTTAGACAACCCAGACACAAATGTCCCTCTGTGGTAGGCTGTGTGACACTGGGAAAGTCACTGACATCTCTAGATCTCGGGCTCCTCTTCAGAGTTAGACTAGATGACACCTGGGTCCTTTTCCCACTCCAGATCTCTGGTCCTAGGATGCTGTGACCTCAGAGGCAGCATGGTAGAATGGCAAAGAACACTGAGTCTGGAATCTGAAACGTGGGCATCAATCCTGGATCTAGTACTTACTGCTTATATGCCCTCAGCCCAGTAGTTTCATCTCTCAAAACTCCATCTCAGTGTGAGTTAACTCAATACAAGACCATATGGTGATGCACAGCAAGGAAAAGGTACTGAAATCTTGGACCTTACTTTAAGAAGCATGGTGCCTAGATCGGATAGGGAGGCTTTCTCTGAGCTTCTCTGATCAGGCCTCCTATGGAATATTACTTTCAGTTCTGATCAAGTAATTAACAAACATTTACTAAGGGTGCCAGGCACTGGGTTAACTGTAGGGAATACAAAGAAAGGTCAAACCAAAAACAATCCTTGACCTCAAGGAACATACATATTGATGGAGGAGAAACCATGTACAGAAATGGGTATATACATTGCAGAGAGGAGTAGACAGAAAGTAACCCTGGAGGAGAAAGCTCAAGTGACCGGGGGCAGGAAGAGGGAGGGTAGGAAGGGAAAAGGCAGTGAGGAATTATAAGCATTAAGGATAGTGACTTTTTCAAGGAGATTAACAACAACAACAAAAAAGCAAAGACAGATACAGGCTGAGAGACATTGAGGATCTTAGGAGCAAGTGAAGGTTTTTTAAAGATGGGGAAGCCATGGGGTGTTTGTAAGTAATAGGGATAGTGCCAATAGATAAGGGAGTGGTCAAATATTGGAGGGGGGGAAGCTAGGTGCCGTAGTGGATAGAGCACCAGCCCTGGAGTCAGGAGGACCTGAGTTCAGATCTGGCCTCAGACATTTAACACTTACTAGCTGTGTGACCCTGGGAAAGTCACTTAAACCTATTGCCTAGCCCCCCAAAAAATCAGTTGTAAAGATTGAAGAGGGAGTGGTGATGACCACCATTTCCACTTTTTAGGAAAGACATTGATAAGCAGGGGAGCATAAAGAGGAAGTCATGTCAGTAAAGGGTTTTGTGTTCATGCCATTTGGGGATTGTGGAAAGAGCTGAGAATATTTAGCTTGGGGAATAGAAGACTTAGTAGGGACATGACATGATAGCTGTTCCTAAGTATTTGAAGGTCAGTCATGTGGGAGACAAATTGGACTTATTCTTCTTTAAATTGCAAAATTAAACTAGTAGAAGCTGCAAAGAAGAAAATCTGGGCTCAATGTAAGGAAAACATTCTTCATCATGAAAGCTGTCCCAAAGTGGAATGGCTACCTCTAAGGGACAGAGTTTCCTCTACCAAAAGCTGAAGGACCTCTTTGGGGCTATATTGATTGTAGAGAGGATTCTTATACTTCTACAGGTTGTGCTAGATGGCATCTAAGCATCACTTCTGGCCAGCTCCTTTCTGACTGTACTTTTCCACTGATTGCTGCCCAAACCTGGAAGCCTCTCCCTTCCTCCTGTTACCTGCAGGCTTCCATGGCTCCCTCCATGGCCCAGAGACCTTTCCTGTTTCTTATTCCACATTGTCCCTACTGCTGGTCTTCCCTTTGAGACTACCTTCCACTTATGCTTGATACATCATATATGGACATAGCTGTTTGCGTGTTGTTTCTGCAATTATAATATGAGCTCCTTGAGGGTGTCAGTCATGTCTCTGCCTTCTTTATATCAGTGGTGCACCATGCCTGATCATAGTGATGCCTTAATAAGTATTTGTTGACTGACTAACTAGGTTTCCAATTATGAAAGTCTTTGACTTGTAAAATAGAGGGTTGAGTGAGAATACCTTTGATCTCTTTCCATCTTAAAATTCTATGTAGATACCAGACAGATATCCAAGAGGTAGGCATCTGTAGTGGGTAGAGTGCTTTACTTGGAAACCCCACCTTGGGCACTTTCTAGTGGAGAAGGTACAGTCCAGCAAGGGCAAGGACTTCACCTTCCCCACCCATAAAATGAGGCATTTGGATTCAACTACTAAATCTCTTCCAGCTCTAAATCAATGATTTTATTAATTTAATGTGGATTCTAATAATTCAAGCTGTACCTTAATCTTGCTTATTTTTAGAAAACAGAGCCATCCCTGATGGAATTAAGTGTATCTCCTGCTTATCATTGCTTACTTTGGTAAGGAGATTTGCATTCACACTGCTGCTCCACATGGTAGCATCTCAAAACGTTAAAATGTGGTCACTGTTTTCTGCTGGTCATTGGTTTTCCTCTCCAAAATGAGTCAATTAAGCCATTTCAAAAGAGTGGAAAGGGGACTGGAGTTGATGATCAGGATACTTACTAACACTACATCATTGGGTAGCCTTATATCTGGGCCTCAGTTTCCCCACAAAAGGGGTTGGCTAAGGTAATCTCAAAGTTTCCTTCCAGACATAGCACACCATGATTCTAAGAGAGCCTGGGACAAGGCCTTTCTCCTGGGAGCCCCTTGGGAGTCCTGGGGCCATTACATGTTTTCTTTCCTCAGACTCCTGCTGCTGGTTACATTGTTTCCAGGAACAATCAGTCCAGCAAGTTGACATCATAGGTTGGTTCTGAAAGAGAGGAAGGAGATGCTGTTCTGAGATAACCCAAAGAAAAATCCCCCAAAGTCTCTGGTTCAGAAGCAGTTACAGCCTGAGAGAAGACCCAGGCTCCAGTCAAGATCCAGCTGCTCTGGGATCCTGGCTCTGATGTGTTTATTCTTTGACCAAGAAACAAAGATCTGGGTGAGATCATGCCTCAACCCATGAAAAATGGACAATTAAAACAATGGACCTGTCAGTTCTCTTACCAGATTGCAAATAAATAATCAGCCTGTCGAGTTGCTGGCTCTGCTGGACCATTAGTTTAATACAAAGACATTCATGGAACAGGAGGGACGCCGCTGATCTATCACCTGCATGACTTTGATGAAGACTCATGCAAAAAGGATTCTGGAACACCAGGGAGGGGGTATCTCAGTCTGTGGAAAAGAGGACATTGGCTACTATTAGCTTTTATGTCATTATGAAAGTCACATTTGCTTTCTCCCCAAAAGCCAGTTAAATGAGTTACTTCCTATATTTTACTTTGAGGTAACATGACATAGTGGATGATAATAATAATAATGATTATATAATAATAATAATAATAATAATAATAATAATAATAATAGCTAACATTTTAAGGTTTGCAAAGTGTTAACACAGTCATTTTATTTCATCATTACAACACTGGGAGGTAGGTGTTATCATTACCTCCATTTTACAGATGAGGAAACTGAGGCAAAGAGAGGTTAAGCATCTTGCCTAGTATTTAAATTTGCTAACTCCAAGACCAGAACTCTGTCCACTGTACCAGCTAGCTGCCTCTCCAGAGTGTTCAACTTGGAGTCAGGGAGACTTGTGCCTAAATCCTATAACAGACACTTAATAGCCGTGTATCCTGGGGAAAGTCACTTTACCCCCCTTGGAGTCTCAGTTTCCACATCTGTCAAATGGGGATAGTAATAGCACCTACGTCACAGGGTTGTTGTGGGGCCTAAACGTGTGTGAAGTGCTTTGTAATCCTTAAAATGCTCTATGGCGGTCAGCCATTATCCTTCTTTTGGCGAGAGTTAACTATCTGCCTGCTTTGTGCTTACCTGTTTCCTAGGTTGCCAGATAAACCCTGAGGGTGAAGGTTGCAGTCAAGTCTGTAACTGTCACAATGGAGCCAGCTGTGATCCTAGAACTGGGAAATGCGTCTGTGAATCTGGATGGACAGGACCTACTTGCCAGGAAGGTAGTGTCAGCACTTCATTTCAAAACCAAAATGTTTTGTCGCAGCAGCAGTGACAGTAGAAGTGTAATTGACTCTCTAGCACTTTCATGTTTTCAAACACTTGGTCTCCATCATTTCATTCCATCCTCATAACAACCTTATGAAGTGGGCAATGCAGATAGTTGTGTCCCCATTTGACAAATAGGTAAACTGAGGGTCAGGTGCTGCAGTATCTTCTTCAGGGCTACACAGGTGGCCAGTGCCAGAGGCAGGAGATGAGGCCAGATTTTGCCGATTTCAAGTTCACTGCTCTACCCTTTACAGCCATACAACCTCAAGCGCATAATAAAATATGATATAACAAGTATTTATTACATTGCGTTTGGGGCAGCTAGAAGGTAGAATGGATAGAACTCCAGCCTTGGAGTCAGGAAGACCTGAGTTCAAATATGATCTCAGACACTTACTAGCTGTGTGACCCTAGGCAAGTCACTTAACTCTGTTTGCCTCAGTTTCCTCATCTATAAAGTAAGCTGAAAAAGGAAGTAACAAACCACTCTAGTATCTTTGCCAAGAAAACCCCACATGGGTTCATGGAGAGTCAGAAACAACTGAAAAAATTCAACATCAGTAACCTTGTGTTTCATTACTATATAAGTAGGCCTTCTTTTATAAAACATTTTCCAGGCAGATTTTTATCATCATCATCACCACTACCACTCCATCATCACTATTATCATTATTACTAACACTGCCACCAAAATCACTACCACTATCTTTATTTAACTACAGCTATTTTTACCAGATTTTGATCATCCCTACCACCACTGACATCTTCATCACAACCACTTGCCACTTAGGAGCATGAATCAAAATAGCAATTTTGCTGCATTTTCTAGTTAACTTCTCCTTAGTATGTGCTATATTTTAAATATAACCCAGTGCATGGCAATGTTTTCTGAAGAAAAGGACAAGAAAAGCTTTATAAGATTTATTAAGATATGGGGTCTGAGTCTAGGGAGGTGAAAACCCTGTGATACTCTGACCTAGTGAGACCGCATCTTTAGTATTACATTCAGTTCAGGATTCCACATTTCAGGAAGGGTGTTGTTAAGCTTGAGAATGTCCAGAAAAGGGCGTCTCATGTGGTATATATACTTGAGATCATGAGATGTGAGTGTTGGTTGAAAGAATTAAGTATGGCTAGCCCAGAGAAGAATTAAGGAGTACATGAAAGCTGTCTTCAGGAATGTGAAGGGCTACCATACTAAAGAGGCATTCAACTTGTTCTTCCTGGCCCCAGAGAAAAGAACTGGGATCAATGGAAACTGGGGGAAAAAAAAAAAGATTTCAGCTTGATGGGGGCGGGGGGAAACAAACAAACAAACAAAACCCCACCTTCTTAATAGAACTATCCTAAAGTACATTAGGCTATCTTAGGAGGAAGATGGCTTCCTCTACATGGATTTCTTCAAGCAGTGGCCAGATAACACCTTGTCAGAAAGGTTTTAGGAGAGATTCTTATTCAGGTGACCTCTGGGATCTCTTCCAACTCCGATCCTATGATTCTTCGTCTAAGAAGGTGACAACACCTGGAAAAAAGATCTTGGCATCCAGGTCACATACCTGCCACCTTACTCAATAGTATGTCTTGTGGCTGCAGAAACAAAACATTTTGTAGCGTGGGTTTTAACTGTGACTGATTAACTGCTTTGATTCACTTGACTTTAGTTTTACTACATGAGTGACTCCTCCATTCTTCATGAAAATATATTGAATGTCATAATGGCATCACCAACTCCACTCCCTGTTTTTGCTGCCAAGACAATTTGTAAATTCAGTTGCAGCAACATGTACAAACCAGTTTGAAACTTTTGGCTAGTATTCAAAATAGTTTGTGTGCATCAATGCAGTCTGTGTCAAACTATTACAGAAGTCACTTTAGTTAAAATTCCTTTGACTTATTTCAATAGTCAATCAAAAGATTGCACTGGTTTTTATGTGATGTTGAGACTGGTGATAGTGATGCTATGATAAAGGTAGTAATGGTGATATGTAGATGGTGGTAATAATAGTAGGGATGAGGATAGTGAGGATTCTGATAAAAATGGGGTGGGGACAATGAGGAAGAGGAGGAGAAGAAAATGGTGGTGATGATGGTGGTTGGAATGAAGATAAAGATGATAGTAGTAATGATTGATGGTAATGATAATAAAGAGGTGATGGTGATGATAAAAATCTAATGACAATTGTGATGTGATGATGACAAAGATGGTGGTAAGTGATTTTGATGGCAGTGGTAATAATAAAGGTGGTAAGAAGGAGGATGAAGATGATGAAGATGGCAGTGATGAGGATAAAGATGATGATAACAATGATGATGAAGATGATAATGATAGTGATGAAGATGGTGATGATGATGATGAAGATGATGCTAATGATGGTGAAGGTGATGATAGTGATGGTGAAGGTGATGATAAGATGGTGGTGGGAGTGTTGATGATCATTATCATGATAACGATGTTACTAGTTGCGACAGTGATTATCACAATGAGATGGAGCTCACATCTTCATAGCTTCTTAAGGTTCACAGAACATGTTTTTCATGATAATACTGTGAGGCAAAGAGCAAAGTAATATTCTCATTTAAAGATGAGAAAACTTAGACATTAGTTCAATTCATATTTATATTGCATTGTAAAGTTTGTAAAGCACTTTGTAAACAGTATTTAATTTTATCCTCACAACAACCCCAGTGCTGTTATTATCCCCATTTTATAGATGAGGAAACTGAATCATACAGAGGCTAAATGACTTTCATAGGATCACACAGCTATTAAGCTTCTGAAGTTAGATTTTGAACTGGGTCTTCCTGACTCCACCTGGCTGCAAAAGATTTACTAAGTGCCTACTATGTGACAGACAATATGCAAACAAAAGCAAAAACAACAACAGAAAAATCCACTGCCTTGAAAGGGCTGATTTTCTACTATCCAGATAATGTGCCTAGTTAAGTGATTATAAAGCACCTTACAGGCAATATAAGGCCATGACCATAGAGAGAGAGCCTGGGAGACCTCTGGGAGACCAGAAAAAACCAGGTGGCCCATGAGAGATGCTTGCAAAGAGATTGAGCAATATCTCAATATAAACGAACCTAAGTTTACAAGAAGGGAGGGAGGAAACAAGCATTCATCCCCCATCTTCCAGACATTGAACTGAGCACTCTACAAACAGTACCTCATCTCATCCTCAGCGTACCAGCAGGTCCAATGATTTGGTGACCAATTAAAACAACTGTATTTTCCTCCCAAACACGGAAGAACCTACACCATTAAGAAAGACAACTGGCTCAACCAGTTTTTTTTCCCTCTGTCCTAGACTTTCTCCTTGTGGCTAGAACTAACTAACAGGTATGCCAAACCAAAGCAAAACTTCTCATTTTTGTTGTTGTTCAGTCGTTTCAATCTGTGTCCAACTTTCTGTGACCCCATTTGGGGGTTTTCTTGGCAAAGATACTGGTGTGGTTTGCCGTTTCCTTCTCTAGCTCATTTTATAAATAAGGCAACTGAGTCAAACAGGGTTAATGACTTGCCCAGGGTCACACAGCTGTCTGAGGCTGGATTTGAACTCTGGTTTACCTGACTCCAGGCCTGATACTCTCTCTACTGCACCCCCCAACTGCCTCGAGGTCCCTGAAATTGCACCTTCAGCAGTCAGACTTCATCACATTCCTTGAGAAGAGTATTTACCCATGGTCCTGGTACTCAGTACTACATTCTTTTGGATCCCAACTAAGTCTATCTTCTAAGTCTATCTCTCTCATTGTGCCTCTAGTTCTCCTAGTCTAGAGCTAAGTTGACTCATAATTAAAAGGTGCTCTTCCCCCTTCAGTATGGAAGGTTTGAGTCCCACCCGTGCTGCCTTTGTGACACTGGGCAAGTCACCCAATGTTCCTGGGACTCAGTTTCCCCTTCTGTAAAATGATGAGTTTGGATGGCATGGCCTCAAAAGTCCCTCCAGCTCTCAATCTATGCTCTACGGTCCTGAGCAGCATTCCAACCAAGCCTTAGTCCTAGACCCTCTCCTCCATGAAGCCAGAGGTGATTTCTCTCTTTACTCAGTTCTCTATTGTATAGCATATTGTATATTCCTTTTTTCCATCCTACCTTGCATTATACTTATTTGTCCGTATGTCTGTAATTCACATAAACTTTGGGAAACCTGATCTCAATTTGCACTCTCTCAAATGAATTTTAGGTCTCGAAGTAAGGCCGTCTCATTTTCAAGGTTCATGGGGCACCCCCTGAGAAACTGGGGATTAGTCTCTTATGTCATGCTTTTGAGCCCCCACCAGTGTGCTTCTCTTCAAGATTACAAATTAAGAATCAATTTATTCAACCAGCCTTATGTAGCTTTTTTCACAGATTATTTACTGAGGTGCTCTAGTAAGAACAGTTAATACAAAACATCTCCCAAAAAGTCTGTTATGCACTTTCCCACAAATACATATAGAGTCTAGGGGAAAGTAAGCTCAGGCTTAGAGAACGTATGTGGCAAAGGGGTAACCCACAGCTCCTGATTGTTGTAATTTTTTCCCCTTCCATCTACGGAGTGCTGAAGAAGTTTCTCTTAGGCATGCTGTAGTTTCTTTGATGGCCTTCTCATGGAATCATAATTGATGTCCAGTCTGTTTTTTTTCATTGCCATCCACTAATCCATAGGTGTCCCTACGACACTGATGAAGACAAGAAATCTGCTATCCTCTAGACTCTTTGAAAAGGGAAAGGTATTCTTTCAGCTAAAGGTGGGAGGGGGAGGGGGTGTAAAAATGAGGAGATCTAAGCTAAGGACAAAGCCAAGGCTTCTCTTTCCCATCCCACACCCAACTAGGCTGTTCTTCTTCAAGAGGTAGGCTGGTTTTATTTTGTTTTGTTTGTTTTACTGGAACACTACATTTACTTCAACCTTTCGAATGACTCATTTCTCAACTTACCTGATAATTTAGAAATCACTCATAT